CTCAGGTAGGTTAAGAGCAGGATCCAGCTCATGATCTGAATCAGGTCTATGCTTTATCAACATGTTCTCCCCACTTTTGATGGAGTTCAACTGACCCTTGCTGACTCAGTTAAAAGCTTTGGGTTATACTGGATTTAGCTTTATTACCGGAGAAGCAAGTTGATTGAACACATGAACACATGAAGTTGCCTTCTACTAAATCAGAACCTTGGTCCATCAAAGTCAGTATTGTCTACACAGATGGCAGCAGCTCTCCGGGGTTTCAGGCTGAGGTCTTTCACATCACCTCCTCCCTGATCCTTTTAACTGGAGATGCTGGGGATTGAACCTGGGACTTTTTGCATGCCAAGCAAGATGCTCTGCCAGTGAGCCATAGCAACAGTGGCAAAAAAAAAAATGCTTTCAACCAACTCAGCCTAGCCTATAAGATGGCCCTTACCTTGATATGGCTGACCTGGCCACCTGGATCCACACCACAGTAACGTTGATACTAGACTACTATAATGCACTGTACATTGGCCTCTCCTCAAAATCAACTGGGAAACTCCAACTCGTCCAGAATGCTGTGGCTCAACTATTAGCAGGTGCTAGACAGAGCATGTATATTACTCACGTTCTTCAGATACTCCATTGGCTGCCCATTAGTTACTGGGCTCAGTTTAAGGCATTGGCTATCACGTACAAAGCATTCTTGGTCTTGGCCCATCTTATTTGTGGGACCGCCTCTCTCCCGATTATCTACTACATCAACTTATTGTAGGTAGGATCCTATTATGTAAGTCTTGTACCACTTAATATGCCGTGTTAATACTTATGCCAGAGATGTTGAACTCATTGGTTATGAGGGCCGGATCTGACATCAATGTCACTTTGTCGGGCCGGGCCAGTGTGCCATAAAATGTAATGCCAGCTACTGGAGATACAAACTTTATAAAGGACAACAGCTGCTAAGCTCCAAGTTGGTGTGTCCTCACTGCAAGGCCCCATGGGCTGGGGTGTGTGTGTGTGCAGAGGAAAGCCTGCATGGATGGATTGGAGAACCAGTGCTGCAGCACTAGGCAGATGACCATGAGCTGTTTGAAGGGTGGGGACAAACCCCTTCTCCAGCCCGCTCCTTCAGCTAATGCTCTGAGCCTGGGCCCCAGGGTAAAAATGCAAAGTGGCTGGGTGTTGCGAGCTCCCCCCTGCCCCTGAGCCACCATGGGAGGGAACTGGGAAGACAACTTGAACTAACCCTCCCCACCTGTGGAAGCAGGGGGCAGTGGCTCAGGCACAAGGCCATGTGCATGGCGGGACCCAGGCCATGCAAAGCCCAATAAGCTGGAGATGTCCATGCAGCAGTGGCTGTCTCCAGCCAAGGCCACCAGGCGATCCATGGTAGGGCGATGCTGAGGAGTCAGTTCAGAGATAATTGGCAAGCCAAGTCACTCCCATGTGGCGGCAGCTGCCCCAGGCCAAAGGCCACCAGATTGTCTGATGGGGGACTGGGCACTGCACACACAAGGCCCCAGGCCACCCAGTGACCAGTATAGCCAGAGGTCATGGGCACTGCGCCCCCTCATGAGGCAGTAGCCACCTATGGCTGAAGGCATGGGGGAGGGAGGCCTGTCCACCAAGTTGCATGCTTAGTGGCAGGACTAGGCATCTGATATGTGGAAGAAACTGCTGAAGAACACCCCCCCCATGGGCCAAGGCACAGCTGCCTCATGGGGGCCTCAGCAGAGGATTCTCTCCCCCCCCGTGTGCAAACGCTGATCCCTGCGGCCATCCGGGACAGCATCCTCGGAGCTGCAGGCTGAGCGGGAAGGTGTGCAAACTCACCTTGGAACCCTGAGCCAGCATGGATATGGCTGCAGGGCTCCCAACTTACCAGTGACGCTGCCACTGAAGTGAAGGGGTTCTGTTTGACTGCTACAGATGAGGTTGTTCCATCAAATCAGATTTATTATTACGGTTCGTGACCAGCACAAGATCAGTGACAACAACGTACATGAATCTAATAAGTCTTAGGAAACACTCAATATTTAAAATTAGTGAATGGCTTGGTTGTTCCATCGTGTTGAAGCCACAGTCAGAGTGGCTCCGCCCACTCCCCCTGAGCAGCCTCCTGTTCCCTTCATTGCACCAGTCGCTTGGAGGCCAGATAAGAGCCCTGGATGAGCTGGTTCCAGGCTCCGGGCCTTGTTTGACATTCCTGATTTATGCTATGCTTCGCTCTTTCTGGTGTTCCAGACTTCTAAAATCCTAATGCATTGAATGTCCCATTTTGTTGATTATACTGACTCATTTTGTGCAATCTGCCTTGAGTCCCTGTTAGAAAGGTGGACTATAAGCAAACAAACAAATAAATAAAAATGTCATTACTCAGTTACTAAAAACCACTCCACTGACATAGGATTTGAGTTGAAGAATAGGCATGTCATTTACCTGATTACATAGGGCAAACTCCTGGCAATGCATCTCATTCCCCCCTGCACCCACTGGAGCAGCAGGGTAAAAATGGTAGTAGATGTCAGCATGTTGAGCAACTCTGTAGGAACTTCCCGAATCTGTATGGTCTTGGGAAATTCCTAGAGTGCTGCTTGATGCTGCTATATTTCCACCCCATACCCTGCCCTCAAAACCTTCCAGGTGGTGGTGCCAGGCATGTCCCTGGCAACCCTAATAATGAATGATGGGAAAGTTCCATCTGCAAGGATCCATCTTTGATGGTTCATTCACATGCTCCACCAGTTTATTTTTGCTGTGGCCGCCAAGTGATGAATGTGCGAACCAGACTTCTTAAGCTCCTGAAATGACTAACTATGAAATGTGATCATTTATGAATTCTTTTACTGATAAAGGGAGTACATTGAATCATTTATTATATCTCATATTTTTATCCTGGTCTTTCTTACACAATGCTCAGAGCAGTGTATACAGTTCTCTGCTCCCTCATTACACAAAACACTTTAGATCACTCTAATCTGGTAACAGAAAGTTTGAAGAAGTTAAATACATCAATACGCAAGAAAAGCATTCCTTACCTTAGGGTCATGTATTCCAGAGAGCTCTTCATAGATTTTCTCTCCCACCATGACAGCAGCCAGATTAGCAGTGTATGTTGATAGACAAAATAAACAAAATATGGCCCAGAGGTTCATTAAGAACCTTCCAGTCCAGCACTTGGGGGGTTTGATGGCAGCTGTTCTACCAAACAAGATGGCATAACAGACGTTCAAGGCAGAGGAGAAAGAGAACACTTTGTTCCTGTTCCTTCCCTTTGGGGTCATCCCAAAAGGGCTTTTCCATTCATATAGGGTGAGGAAGATGGCGGTGATGTGGAGAGCCACAAATATTCCCAGCCACATGGTCCAGTGGAGTGGCCACATAAAGGCTCCAATAGGAGCCGCCGTGTCTTTGGTTCTCACCAGGATGCCCAAGCTGGTGGAAAAAAATGGGCTGGTGAAATCAATCACTTGGCTACGAGCGGTGTTGATGCTGAATGATGTCACAGCCATGTGAGCGGTCCCAGCCAAGAGGTCCCCCACAAGCCCCGTCCACTGGCCATTTTTCCAGGCCCCGTATTTCCCATCCCCAACAATGTAGAGGTCGAAATCAAAGTTCATATCTTCAGCCAACTTTTCCAATAGATCTATACAATAGCCATAGCAGCACTTTTTTAATTCGGTGGGCACTGTGCCATTGCCTCCTTGGAGGCTTTCAAAGAGAGCATCCAGCACTGCTGAATTATTGGTTAAGGGATCCAAGCAGAGCTGCCCGGCTGGGCATAATCCTTCATCATCCACATTCCTTGTGAACACAAAGGGGTGTTCAATGAGGGTCACTACTCTCAGGTGTAGCCTGGTAGGATGTTGGTTGTGACTCTTGTGCCTCTGGGCCTGTTCTGGCCAGATCCCGTAGTCCATGATGATCCTGCCTTCTTGCCAGCTCCCCAAACGAGTCCACATAGGATTCCCAACAGGATCATGCTGCAGATTCCAAATGAAGAAGTTGTTTTCGGAACTGATGATGGAGGAGCCTTTTACTTTAATGTGGCCACTAAGCCCATAAAAGGTGGTGTTGGCTAAAAACCTGTAGGGCAAAAGAAAGATGTTAAGACCATTCAGCTTAGGTAGTGAATTTCTCAAAATTGCTTTAGATAGGTGATTGCTGTGCCCTTCCATTGCTATGTCCTGCCTTCAAAAAAGGCTAGGGTTGCCATGTGCCTGCTAGGATTGGGAGATCTCCTGAAACCAGTGGGCCCTGCCAGCAGCCAGTGGGAGAAAGAAATTTAAACAACAACAACAAAAAAGCATTGTCACCAGCAACAACATGACATCAGTTCTGGAAAAACCTAGAAGAGATATTGTGTCTCTCTTGGAAAAGCCATGGAATTTTTGGCAATTTCTAGAGAACCATGGCAGCAGGGTTTTCCTTGGAATGCTGTCATGCCATCACTGATGGCCACCTCCCCCCTGCACGACCCGGTTTCCTGCACGGCAACCCTAAAAAAGGCCCGCTCAACTTCTTCCATGGGATGAAGATCCTATTCCCACGGTGTGTATGCCCTTATCACCTGTCTTTCCCCATTTAAAATGCATACATTACCCCCTCCAATCCAAATTTCCCCCTCCAGTATTCTGTAAGCTGTCAGAGGTCTGAAAAGGCCAATTTTGCTATTTCCCTCTGTTCCCCTCTTCATTTTACTCTCAACTGTTTCCATCATTCTTGGGACAATAGACATACACAGTACTAGTCATGGTGTTTTGGGAGAGTGCTGTTTCTTAAACGACAAGAATTACAAACAAATATTATTTACATATATATATATATATAGATCTCATATACACAGAACGTCCTATAGGTTTGCCAGGTCCCTCCTGGGAACTGGCGAGGGATGGGGGGACTTATGAGGAGAAAGAGAAAGGCCTAGACCTCATTGCCACAAGAAGTGATGTCATCATGCCAGCGACGCCCAGGAGATGCTCTAGTATTTGGGCAAAAACTCTATGGTATAACTGGCTTCTACCATAGAGTTTTTGCCCAAACACCCGAGCTTTGCCCAGATGTCACTGATGTGATGCTGTTACTCCCTGCACAACACCAGCCACCAGGCCTAAACCTTCTACTTTCTCCTGGTAATCCACCCTACTGGCCACCTGATTGGCGGTGGGGGATCCTTGCCCCCACCAGGGGGTCTGGCAATCCTGTATTTGCAGATGGTCCTATTTGAACTTCATGAACTTCAACATTACATTTTTGGGCACTGTCCCAGCCTCAAACAAGCACTTGAGTCGCTTCACCAAATCTCTCCTTTAATAGACTCGGCCAGTCCGGCCACATTATTCATTGCTTTTGTAATCTCATGGCTGGACTACTGTAACATGCTCTGTATTGAGCAGCCCTTGAAGACAACCCAGAAGCTACAACAGCTTCAAAATGCAGCAGCCCAGGAATACTCAGAGGCTGATCATATCTCTGTTATTTAAAAACAGCTAAATTTGCTGCCAGTTTGTTTCCAAGCTCAGTTCAAATGCTGGTTGTGACCTTTAAAGTCTTCATGACCTAGGACCCAAATGTCTGAAGGACCATGCTTCCCATATGTCCCATAGGCCAACAACAGTCTTTAGTTTGTCACATACTGGCTGGGCCCTCAGCTTAGGGCTGTCCACTTGGAATTTAGCAGAGCCTATTCCTTTTTCAACATGGCTCCCAGAGTCCCACCTTGTGGAACAGGCTCCTTGACAAGATGGGGAACACAATCTTGAGGTTTTTTGGAAGCACTGTAAGTCCATTTTATTTGTCAGGGCTTTTAAGGTGGTTTAAGCTGTAGGCATTTTCTGGGGGATGGGAAGTAAATGGTTTTTCACCATATTAATTAGAGCCGATTCTACCCCTATTTTACTATTCCACTGAATACAGTTTGAAATCTTCCTCCCGCCTGAAGAGTCTTCCTCAAACTTAAGTAGCTCGTCCTAGGTATGCATAGAAGGAGTGTAGTATGTTGTCCTCACAAGAATTATTTTTTGGGCGGGATGGTCCCCCGCATATAGATATCAGAGCACTGGTACATCTATTTAACCCAGAAAAGCCCTAGGAGTCAAGTTTCCCTGGTAGATTAATTAAATTGTTCCATATTCATTAGTTGGATGACTTGATCATTTTGTTTTTTTTATCTCACTAAGTCTAGAACAAAGCAGGAAAATGAGAATGGGCAGCAAGTCAAAACCACACCGTGCTTTAATTACCTAAGGAGCAGAGTTAAAATGCCATAATTTACAGACAAGATGGGCCTTTCAAAGCCTAATGCCTTTCCCCTCCTGTAACAAGGGCGATCACAAGATTAGGAATTAACTCAGCAGAAATGTGGTTGTCACAAAGGCCTCCCGTGTAAGTGCTCCGTGGCGGAAGCACAGCCCCAAATCTAAAAGAGAGCCATTCGTGCTTTGCGGTTCAGAGAGCCCAATTCTGATTGCTGCTACAAATCCTGTGAGCCCAACGTTTAATCCTCAGAAGGCTTTTTTAAATGTTGTAGTAAAGGATGCAGAAGAATGTGCAAAGAGTCTGGCAGAGTCCACATAGTCCTGTATCCTGTTTCCCCAGAGTCCACATAGTGCTCTCTCCTGTTCCCCCAATATTCCTGTTTCCATAGCAGCTAACCAGATGCCTTCAGGAGCCCCACAAGCAGAGAATAGCCTCTCTCTGCTGCTGCCCCCCCAGCACTAGTCTTCAGTGGCATCTAAATGTGTCACTTCCCTTTAGCTGCTGTACATAATGGCCACTGATGTCTCCTCTGTGAATTTTTCTAAATCTCTTTCAAAGCCATCTAACCTAGTGGCCACCGGTGTTCCCTCTAAGCTGAGTGAGTGTGAGCTAGCTCACAGGTTTTTAGCCTCTGGCTCACACATTTTTGTCTTAGCTCAGGAAGGTCGGCTCCAGGGCAAACTAATTTATGCAGCAGCCAAATGACTCACTCACCACTTTAATGCCAGTAGCTCACAAAGGAGAATTTTTGCTCACAAGACCCCACAGCTTAGAGGGAGTATTGATGGCCACTACTGTATCTTTTGGCAGTGAATTCCATAAATCTTTCGTCTGTCCTGCACCGATCTTTCTCTGTGACGTTAATTTGTTTTTACAGCAGTGGCTGGCACAGCTGATTTATTGACAGCATTTATGTCTGTTCTTTCTTCCACCATCAGTTACACCTATAGAGTTCCTTGGTGTTTTCCCATCCAGGAACTGACCAGACACAGATTATCTTAACTACTTCAAAGATGCTGTATCACATAACTTCAGACTCTGGGACCTTAAGTGCAATCTTATGGGAACAATCCTTAGTAGTAGTAGAAGAAGAAGAGATTGAATTTATACCCCGCCCTTCACTACCCAAGGGAGTCTCAGAGCGGCTTACAATCTTCTTTCCATTCCCCTCCCCACAACAGACACCCTCTGAGGTAGGTGGGGCCGAGAGAGCTCTTTCATGAACTTCCCTTTCAAGGACAGCTCTTGTTAGAACTATGGCTTGCCCAAGGTCATCCAGCAGGTGCAAGTAGAGGAGTGGGGAATCAAACCCGGTTCTCCCAGATTAGAGTCCACACACTTAACCACTACACCAAACTACCACCACCACCACCACCACCACCACCACCACTACCACTACTACTACTAATACTACTACTACTACTACTACTACTACTACTACTACTACTACTACTACTACTACTACTACTACTACTACTACTACTACTACTACTACTACTACTACTACTACTACTACTACTACTACTACTACTACTACTACTACTACTACTACTACTACTACTACTACTACTACTACTACTACTACTACTACTACTACTACTACTACTACTACTACTACTACTACTACTACTACTACTACTACTACTACTACTACTACTACTACTACTACTACTACTACTACTACTACTACTACTACTACTACTACTACTACTACTACTACTACTACTACTACTACTACTACTACTACTACTACTACTACTACTACTACTACTACTACTACTACTACTACTACTACTACTACTACTACTACTACTACTACTACTACTACTACTACTACTACTACTACTACTACTACTACTACTACTACTACTACTACTACTACTACTACTACTACTACTACTACTACTACTACTACTACTACTACTACTACTACTACTACTACTACTACTACTACTACTACTACTACTACTAATACAGTGCTGCCAAGTCATAACTGACTTATGGAGACCCCTCATGGAGTTTTGAAGGCAAAAGATATTCAGAGGTGGTTTACAATTCCCTTCCTGTTCATTGGTGGTCTTCCACCCAAGTACTAACCATGGCTGACCCTACTTAACTTCTCAAATCTGACAAACTCAAGCTAGTCGGGGCTATTTAGGATGTTCACTAGCTGTATAGATCAAGATGGGTAGCCATTTTAGTCTGTCTGTAGCAGCAGAAAAGAGTAAGAGTCCAGTAGCACCTTAAAGACTAACAAAATTCTTCTTCTTGATCTGAAGAAGTGAGCAGTGACTCTCTGTACAGCAAAAACTCTCTGTTCTGTGCATGCACATGCATGAGTGTGCACGTGTGAGTGAGAGAGAGAGACCTGGGTCTCAAGAAGACCTGCATCTCCAGCAAAGGTCTAATTTGGTCATTCAAACATTGCTTCAATATTAGACTCATGTGCTTTATGTTTACAAGGAAATTAATTGAGAGAGGATCTTACTTTGATAAATACTGTCCTGAAGTGAGATTTTTTTCTTCAACATTCAAGCAATTAGTGGTGCTTGGAATAAGGGCCAGTTCTGGTTCGATCATTGTAGCAGAAGCAACAGCTCTAGCTACCAGCTCCATTGCATCCTGTACATAGTCTTCAAAAAAAGACTGTGATGTTTTCCCATGAGCGATGAGACCCAATGGCAAACCTTCTGTTCTCAGCTCTTCCACATTATGTGAATCCCCAAGAATCCAGTGAAGTTCAGGAGGCATCACCCCAAACTGGGTAGTTGTCTCAAAAATCTGTCTTGTGCTTTCCATGTCACAGCCAAACATGACCACTGTTGATGTTGTGTCTTTAATGTTCTCCAGATGAACTTGCAAGTAGGTCAAGAGGTCACTGGTTGATGTGAGGTTTCCTGTGATGTTTATAATGGATCCCAAATGGAATTTGGAGCTTTGCTGTGTGAGGAAGAGAAAGTCGGTGATGTTCCACTCTTCCTGGCAGACCATCAAGCTGAAATTATACCAGTTGTTCAAGGCCAAGATTGAGAAAGTGACATCTGCGTCAAAGCTTAATGAGCTCTCTAAACTCAACTGTAGGTGAAGAGGATTCTGTAAGATAAGAAAGATAATAGTTCAAATGATTTGAATGCAAAGATAAAACATTTCTTGGCCTTTCCCCCCTTTGCACCCTGATCTGCCAGCTCTAAAAAATAGCCCATAGTGGTAGAATCCTAACGATCTAACTCGTCAATCTAACTCATCTTAATATTTTTTAACATTTATGGGGCCTCTACTACACATACAATTCATATCTACAAGCAAAGATTCATATTCCTGGTGTCTACTATAGAGAATATAAGAGCTCCCATGCTAGGTCAGACCAATGGCCCATCTAGTCCAGCATCCCATAGCCAACCAGACACCCTGGAAGACCTACAAGTTAAGCAAGTAGGTCAAAGCCCCCGTTACATGACATGCCACCCCAATATTCCATAACCCAACACTTCTTACTACATTTGGCTTGGCTTTCTTTGTTTTAGATTGTTCGCTTCTACTGGAAGGTCAGCTATACAACATGGGCTATGACAGAGCTGCCCACTGGTCAGGGGATCTGAGGCTGTTTATGCAGCAAATCTCAGCTTTCTAGGCACTCTGGAAGTACTGTAACCATATACAGGTAACTCTTCATTTCACCCATGCTGAGGGAGAACTAAAAAAAGGTCTTGCAATACTTTTCAGAGAGACGTGAATTATATAGGCGCCAAATTCCCAGGTTTCTAGGTGGTGTGGAAGCTACCTAACAATTTTGCATAACACATTGACCATAGAATCTGAGACTTAGAGAGGACCAGTTGGCTACCCAGTGCAAGGCAAGACCATCTCTGCACTGTCCCAGATTCCAAGATGTGCCATCGAGGTTAGTAGTAAGGCATGTACTTATGTCTATTTTCCTGTGATCTCTTTTTGAAATCAGAACCCAGTATACTTTTTGTATAAAGCAGAGGTTCTCAACCATTCGTATCTTACATCCCAACCAATCCATCTGTTAGATCGGTTCTGATTGGTCGCTGTTGTGGAGCGACCAATAGCAAGTTGGCTCGGTGGAGCCTTCCTCTGGCTCGAGCTTATCATGGAGAGTCAATGCGGCGATTCATGTAAGCCTTTTCGAATACACCATACCATCTATCAAACATCAAAGTCCCAGTGTGATAGAAAAAAAGCCCACTTTTTCTGGCAAGGACATTTTCATTTTTACAGGCATTCTGTTATCCCTACTACCATGACAAAAGGTCACAAAGGGATAATCCATGACAGGAAAAATTGGCGGGAGACAGCACATCACACTTGTAAGTGGGCATGGGAAGAAGAACTATTATGAAAACTCTGTGTGCCACCTAGACTACTTCTGCGTCCCACCAGTTGAGAGACACTGTTATAAAGCAATATCAGGGACCTAGTTTACAAGGAGACCATTTGTAGTATCTTAATCCGTGCCTGCACAAAAGAGGCAGTTCCCCCAACAGGCTTGCAATGAGTCTGTGATATAATTTCTGAGAGTGGGATTAGAGAACTGCGGTCCAGGATATTCAATCTCTCTGTCTCAGTCTCCGTCAGTCTGTCTGTCGTGGGTCAGCCGGGCACAGTTAACCCTGAAGGGGCGGAGGACTTTTTAGAAGAAGAATGGGCATGTGGAGAAAGTCCCAGCCCACAGCCGGTTACAGACAGCCTGCAGGAGGAAGCTACTTCTGCCCTGCCAACCAACAATTCACAGAGTGACACCAGTATCCCAGCTGTACGGCCCCATAGCTCAGTATAAGGGAGCATCCCACCATCCTCCTCGCCTCCCCCCATCTCCAGAACCGTTGGGGTGCAGATAAAGGAGGGCTCAACACGAGATGCAGGAAAGATGGCAGAGTGCATGATTAGCAGTCCAGCAACATCTGGATCCAGACAGTGAGGATGGGTGTGCGCGCACCTGCACGATAGAATTCAGCCGTGAGATGAGTGTCTCTGTTATAAAGGGCGGAGAAAGGGAGAGACTGGCTGTGGAAGCAAACCATCACTTGACTCCTGACCTTGCTGCTGCCCCTGCCCCTGACGTGTGACCTTTGGACCATGTTTTGGACTACGACTTCTGGATTCGCCCATTAATCTGGTGCTGCCGCCAAATTACCTACACCGTGTTAGACTTGGGAGCTAGACTCTGTGCCACTTGTGCCCAGGCCTCATCTCGCTTGCTGTCCAGCTCAGCTGACTTGCCAGTTTGGTGTAGTGGTTAAGTGTGCGGACTCTAATCTGGGAGAAACAGGTTTGACTCCCCACTCCTCCACTTGCACCTGCTGATGTGACCTTGGGTCAGTCACAAGCTCTGGCACAGCTGTCCTTGAAAAAGAGCAGTTTGTGTCAGAGTTCTCTCAGCCCCACCCACCTCAAAGGGTGTCTGTTGTGGGGAGGGGAAGGGAAAGGAGTTTGTAAGCCACTCTGAGACTCCAAGTGAAGGGCGGGGTATAAATCCAATCTCTTCTCTCCTTCTTCTTCTCCTTCTCCTTCTCCTTCTCCTTCTTCTTCTTTGCCTAGGATGTTTGACACTCTCACCCTTTCTCTCTGTTTCATACACAGTGGCTTGTCTTTTCTTTTTTAGTATTTGAGTACACTTTATATTGTTGGCGTAAGCAATGTCTGGTGTACAACAAGAAGAGATAAAGACCTTGCTGGGGGTGGCATGAGGAAAAGCCAGTTAGATAGGATAGTGAGGTCAGCACCTTCTTTCCAGATAAGTCTCTCATTCCTCATCTTTCTCCAGATTGCTACCCTGAGGGCAATATCCTGCTTCTTCTTGGAAGTTCCTCAACTCCCCATCTCTCTCTCTCAGCTAGTGATAGAGCTAGAGATATGTCTCTATCTCTAATCTTCTTGATCAAGTATGTCAGTCCCTGAATAAAGCTTCTGCTACACTTTGATCAGTTTTTGCACCTCACATTAATCACTCAGCCAACCTATATCAGCAGGATCATGCTAATTACAAGAGAACCATCAATAAGTATCTTTTAATATCAACCATTTATTTAACATAGGAGTAATAAAACATTTTAAACATTATTTTAATGATAGACTTAATAACACGTGCTTATAATCATGAGCTGCGGTGGCTCAAGTGGTTAAGACACTGAACTGCAGGCTGTGGAAGGTCGGTAGTTCAGCAGTTCGAGACCCGGGTGCCGCATGATGGAGTGAGCTCCCGTCTCTAGTTCCAGCTCCTGCCAACCTAGCAGTTCGAAAGCAAGAAATTGCAAGTAGATAAATAGGTACCACTTCGGTGGGAAGGTAACAGTGTTCCGTGCGCCTTGGTGTTTAGTCATGCCGGCCACATGACCACGGAAACGTCTTTGGACAGCGCTGGCTCTTCAGCTTTGAAGCAGAGATGAGCACCGCAACCCTGGAGTCGGACTCGACTGGCTTTCGAGCAAGGGAACCTTAACCTTTACATAATTATGACATCCCTGGAGGAGATCTACAACTCCTCCAACCTTCAAAGTGGTCCTGGCGCGTTCTCCAGTGGTATCTGTGTACTCAGCACAGTGTTGACATGCGTGCGTACAGGGACAATGCATATTGATGGGGGAACAGAAGTAAGCATGCTGACTTCACCCCTGCTCATGATCACATGCCCTGGCCTTACTGCTAACGAAACCCATTTGTCCCAGTGGAGGCACAATGCCTACACATGGACAGATCAGGGACAATCCTGAGAAAGTAGCACTCCTGATCAGAAGGACAGAGCCTACATGCTTACCTTTCAGATGTACGTAAGCCTTGTATCCATATAAGAGGAGAAAGGGTGTTCTCTCACCCTGTTCCCGTATGCACAGTGCCCTATCCCCTTATATGTCATGTGCACAGGGTTAATACCAATATCCCTATTGTACGTAAATGTTGGTGGCGTGTACGTAATGTTTTATTTAATCTGTTGGAAGGTAGCTGCAAACTGTTGTCAGTTTGGCTTAGTAAATGCTAGATCACAAACCTTGTCGCGGCTTTTTTAAACTTCAAACAAATCACACACACACACACACAAAGTACATTAATAATGTCTTAATGGAAAAAATGGTTTTAAGGTATTGGAGAAACACAGAGAGGAGAAATTCAGCTACATGCCGAGAGAGGAGCGCTTCTTGTGCTTGAGGGAAGAGGGAGGAAGGAGGAGGAATTTGGGCAGTCATGTCAGCTCTTACTGGAATGTCCTGCGCTGCCATCTGGGAGGTACTGGGTGGGAGGGGCCTGGGAGCTTCCCTTTGGTTCTTGCTGGCCCTTTAGGGAATGCTGTTTGGAGTCAGCCAGCAATGACGGCAGAGGCAGCAGGCACAGCAGTATTTGCATCAGCAGAGGGGGAGACTACAGGTGCAGTGTGAATGGTGGGAGTGAGACCATTCATGGGCAGGTATATCCCTGATCCACTCCCTGAGGTTTTCAGATTTGTCTGTCACTTTAAGACAAGGAATCCCTCATACACAGGAAGGGAGGACTCAGAAAGCAAGAGACAGGGAGCAGGGAGCTAGAAGGAAGGACTGTCCAGTTTTGTTCTATAAAGTTAAGTTAGTGTTTCAGACAAATAAAAGTGACTAGGGTTGTAGGAAGGTCAAAGAAGACGGGGACGGCAAAGGATGAGATGGTTAGACAGTGTCATAGATGCAACGAACATGAAGTTGAGCAAGCTTCAGAGGATGGCGGAAGACCGGAAGGCCTGGCGTGATCTGGTCCATGGGGTCGCAAAGAGTCGGACTCAACTGTGCGACTGAACAACAAAAAGGGTTGCCAGGTCTGAATCAGGAAATATCTGGGGACTTTGGGGGTGGAGCCAGGAGACTGGGGGTGGAGCCAGGGGAAAAGCATGACTGAATTCCAAAGGGAGTTCTGGCCATCACATTTAAAGGGACTGTGTTTCTTTTACATGCCTTCCCTCCTTTGGAAATAATGGAGGATGGGGGTGCCTTCTTTTATGGCTCATAGAATTGGACCCCCTGGTCCAAACTTTTTGAAACTTGGTATTTTTTTAGGAGAGGCACAAGATGCTATGCCAAAAATTTTGTGCCTCTACCTAAAAAACAACA